CCCTGGGTACCACGCTCTGATTGGACACCCAACCAGCCCTCACCCTGGGTACCACGTTCTGATTGGACACCCAACCAGCCCTCACCCTGAGTACCACGTTCTGATTGGACACCCAACCAGCCCTCACGCTGGGTACCACCTTCTGACTGGGCACCCAACCAGCCCTCAGCCTGGGTACCACGTTGTGATTGGACACTGAGTTGATGCTATTAAAGCAATGAGGGATTTGACTGACTGGTGTGGATGCAGGAACGTGAGGCCAGGGTCTGCCTCCTCACCCCTGCCCAGTCAGGAGGGCCCCTCACCCAGGCGCAGGAAGGAGAAGAAGTAGAGCCAGAACAGGCACAGGATGGGAGCAGCCAAAGCCTGCCTCACAGCCGCGAAGTGGATCCTCTTCTCCAGCTTGGCCGGGAGGTAAACGAAGTAGAGGTTGTGCCGGTCCACCATGTGCTTGAGCAGGATGTAGACGAGGCCTGCAGAGACGGGGCTGTGAGCTGCAGACCCGGCTGGGCCACAGGGGCCCCTCTGCCCCTTCCTCCTGGGGGTGGCTTCTTGTGCATGGAGCTGGGGCTGGGTCTGCTGTTCAACCACAGGAACCTGAAGTTGTGCTAAATGCATAAATGCCTCTCCTGGCTGCAATGTTCTCTCTCTCCCTACCCCTCCCCTCTCCCTTCCCCCTCCCCTTCCTGCCCTCTTTCTGACCCCAAGGAGTAGAGGTGTCTGATTCTGTCCCCATGGAACACTGAGATTCTAGGATCATCTTGGGGAAAGAGGCTATTTTGCACCCAGATGTCTAGGCCCCTCCCATGCTGAGCCCCCCATCCCTCAGTGCTCCCACTCTCCCTCCCTCTCCCCCCAAGCTGACCCCTGCACTCATCACAGTCAACAGATGCCCGAGGGTCTTACCCCAGGGGCGGCACACAAGGGGAATGCTGCCTTTTCTATTCTGTCAGCTTCTTTTGAAAATTTCTTTGTTTTGAAAGAGTGATACTTAAATTTTTAAAATAGTACAAGAGAATACACAGGGAAAACTAAAACTTCCTCCTACCCCTAAACCTCAGCTATCACTACCAACTGTCTCTTGGGTCTTCTGTTTGCTTCCAGAGTCTTCCATTTTTCTGCCAGTTCCTGATGTTTTCTTTTACAGTCATGCATCGCTTAATGATGGGGACATGTTCTGAGAAATGCATTGTTAGGTGATTTTGTCTTTGTATGAACATCATATCGTATACTTACACAAACCTAGGTGGTACAGCCTACTACACACCTAGGCTATACGGTGCTAATCTTACAGGACCACCATCATATATGCAGTCCCAGGTTGTCATTATGAGGCACATGACTGTACCTGCAAGACCTCGGCCTTTAAAGTCAAACCGTCCTAAGCTCAAATCCTGGCTCTACTTACTAACAACGTATCAAGTGCTTCATCTGTGAAAAGGGAACAGAAACAAGACCCGCCTTGTAGGACTTTGTGAGCATTAAATGTGATGATCTGTGCGGATGCCATGGTGACTGGCCAGAGCAGAGGGCACAAACATGAGAGCCTCGGTCATCACTGCTGGCACTGGCCTAGCTGCTGCTGGAGAATCAACCAGGAATCAAGTGGTCAGCTGGCAGAGAGCCTCAGACCAGGAGAAGTACTGAGAGAGGAAGACTAATGGAAGGAATTCATTAGGATGGAAGTGAATTTAAATGTGGTGTCCCAAGGGGCTCCTTGGCAGCTTGTGGTTGTGGCTACACGAGGACCGGCATTGGAGGGGCTCCATAATGCCCTGGTGATGGCTGCCCCTGGGCGCTTGGAAGAATCAGCCATCCTACCCACCCCAGGACCAGCTCCAGGGCCACTCACCGAATGGCGTGATGAGGGGGCAGGTGATGCTGTAGGCCATGACGACGGTGAAGACGCACAGCATCCACGCGTACATGGCTCCAAACTCAGACTGGAAGGCCTGGTTCTGGGAGGAGGAGGAGGTGACGCGCTTACAGGCTTGTTCCACCCAACACTCCTCCGTGCACTCCAGCTGGTGCCGGGAGAGCAGGGTGGAGAGGGACCCTGGAAATGGGAGACTCACAGCTACCCCGCCCCCCCGAGGTCCTTTCCATCCATCCACAAGCCTTCTCCAGCTTCACGCAGCTCACCCCTGACCTCCAAGCTGCAGTGATTTATGTTTTCTTAGTGTTTCTCTCGTTCGACTCATGTCGACCCACAGGCCCTTGAGCCCCTGGAGGGCAGAGAGGGTGTGTCTGAGGACAGACTGTAGGGTGACCACCCCCACAGACTTTGGCGTCAGACCCAACATCAGCTCTGCCCCTTCCAGCCGTGAGTCCTGGGCCAGGCGCTTAACCTCCCTACATCTTACTCTGCGCATCTGCAAAGTGGGGACACCAGCACCCATCTCCTGGGGGTCTGAGGATAAATGAGAGTGCAGTGCTTCTCCAGCTCTCCACTCACGGTACCCACAATGGCAAAGGAGAATAAGAGAACCCCTCACCACCCAGTTTAGGGAATCTTAGAACAAATGCCAGAAGCCCAAAATGCCTTTGACACCTATGGTGATCTTAAGAGTTTATGTGAATAGCTGCTCCTGGAAAAGAAATTTGTGGATTTTAATTGTATGGATGGGTGTGATGAGACTGGTTAAAATGCAAGATTCCCAACTCTCCTCCACCTGTGAGTCAGAGTGGAGGATTCTGAAGACACGCCACATTCCCGCCGGGCTCCTCGGACCTCCGCTCCCCGCAGAGGCGGCCCTGTGCCCTGGTGAGAAGCACTGAGCACAGGGGCTGGGTGAGTGCCCGCGCTGGAAGCTCTGGAGGGAGTCGGGGCCCTGGCCCGCCCCGCCACCGCACCTGCTTGACGTTCCTGCGGTCGCCGGCCGTCTTGGCCATGCCCATGCGGAAGGTGTAGAGGATGAGGCCGGGCAGCCGCAGCAGCTCCATGCCGTTGCCGATGAAGGCCGAGGCGATGACGTAGTTCACAAAGAAGGCGCCCTGGTCGGGCAGGAAGACGCACCTGGGGGACCGGCCAGTGTGTGAGCTGGGAGCCAGAGGAGCCTCCTTCCTACTGGAGGGAGAGAGGGGCCCTCGGCTGGGCAGACGCAGAAAGTCCCGGAGACATTATGCTCAGCCTCCACCCAGTAGGTGTGTGTGCAGCACACACATGTGCCAGCACTTTCTCAGCCCCTTCCCCGCTCTCCTGGCGCTCACATCCTAGCTGGGGACACCAACAAGTAAATACACAGCACGCCAGGTGCCACAGGGGCTCCAGAGGGAGAGAAAGCAGGGCGGCAATGTTTACTAGGTTGTGTAGGGCGGTCAGAGAGGCCTTTCTGATGAGGTGACATTTGTGCAGAGACGTGGAGGAGGGGAAGAGAGAGAGATCGAGAAACCTGGGGAGAGAGCATTCCAAGCAGAGGAAACAACAGATACAACATGCCTGACATGTCAACGGAACAAGGGCAGGGCCGGGCGGGCCAGGGTGTGGGGACAGGTGTGCAGGCTGGCCCGGAGCAGCTCTGACTGCCCGAGGGACCGTGGGGCACGGAGACCTCACAGATGGCAAGGCTGTCACCATGTGCAGAATGAGGGTGGTTGGGCTGGAGGAGGTGAGAATGGTCGGATTCTGGATCCACCTCAGAGACAGAGCAGTCAGGATTTGCTGGTGGAGGGAAGAGAGGAGACAAGAAGAACTCCGAGGGTTTTTGCCAGAGTAACCGGAAAACCGGAGTAATGGGCGGGGAAGTTTGTGGGAGCAGCAGACGTGGAGACAGACGTCAGGAGAGTGGTTTGGGGCAGGTAGAGTCTGCGATGCCCAGTGGAGCTCCAGGTGGGGAGCAGCAGGCAGCTGGAAGTGCGAGTCTGGAGGGGCAGATGGCGTTAGAGTTCAGGGGTCGTCAGGTGGCATTAAAGCCAGGGTCCAGCTGAGGTCACCTAGAGAGGGGGCGTGGACCGAGGACTGACAGAAGCCCTCAGACAGCCGGCATTTAGAGCTCGGGGAGATGCAGGAGAACCTGCCAAGGAGGCTGAGGAGATGCTGTGGGATGGGAGATCCAGGAAAGGGGGGACCCAGAGCCGGGTGAAGACAGCGTTTCAAGCAGGAAGGCACAATTAATGCGTCAGATGTTGTCGACAGATCACATACGATGAGGACTGAGAGCTGACCGTTGGATTTGGCAATCTGGAAGTCACTGTCACCCTAGACAAGAGCCATTGGGGGTCTGTGTGTCTGTCCGTGGTTGCCAGCCCCCGAGTCATCAGCTTACCAGCAAGAACCTATTTAAAATGATTCACTCCGTCCTTCTAAGCAAGCATGGCCAGCCTTCCCCACAGACAGTCCTTTGGGAAAGTCAATCCCGAGCCCAGGGCCTCTATTAGGACCTAAAGTATAGTGTAAGGGGGGCTGAGGTGAAGCCCAGCTCTGTCTCTTAACAGCTGGATAACCTTGGGCAGGTTATTCCAGATCTCTGGGCCTCAGTCTCCTCATCTGTAAAATGGGGGTAATAGGAGTGTCTACCTCATAGCTTGTTGTAAAGATTAAACGAGAAAAGAATAAGCACTTGGCATAGCGCCTTCTTCAACAATAGGTATTACTATTAAGTGGGTGAAGGGGAGCAGACTATCCCACCTCAAAATATGCCACTTTGGCATATTGATTATGTTGAATTAAAGTGACTTCAGAAACAGTTAGTATAAGAAGGACCCTCTGACCTGCCTTTGTCCTCCTGAAAGCAGGAAATCTCCCATCTGAAAGGCACCCTCCCTGCATCAGGAGGGCAGAATGCATGCTTATCACCAGAGATAGGGAATTTAGGGCCAAGAATACTATATATAAAGAAATCTTATTTCTTCTTCACTAATTTGCTACCCCAAGTCCAAACCCCTTTGTCTTGTCAATTCTTCACAAATTTCTTGTTTCTTTGTCTAAAAGGTATAAAAAGCTGAATCGTTTGGTCACTTCTTTGAGTCTCATATTTTATGAGCTCCCGTGCATACAAAATTATATTTGTTTTTCTCCTGTTAATCTGTCTTATGTCAATTTAATTATTAGACCAGCCAAAGAACCTGGAAGGGAAGAAGGGAAAAGCTTCCTCCCCTACGTGGGTGTGGTACGAGCTTGAAATGCTAACAAGGACACACATCAGCAATAAGTTTAACTCCACTCTCCTCGAAAAATAATCCCCAGTCCAGACAGTCATTCTGGTTGCAATGTTTAAATATTATTCTCCTTCCCCCTCCCTGGCACCACTGAGACCCAGCAATCCCTTCTCCCCAAGAGGCCCTGTTCTCAGTAAGTAAGTTTCATAGAATGACACTGCAACTAATTGAGTTTGGGCCTAAAAGATGAACCACATTTCTGCACACTAGCACAAAGTGGGTCAGCTCCCATGGTGTGGCCAAAGGTCCTGCCTGGCCCCAGCCCAGCCAGGACGCTGGTAGGGGTGGTGGGGAAGCCCCAGGCCCTGTGGTCTGGGGGAGGAAGACGGTGTGTCCTGAAGCACAGACTACCCTCCCCCGAGTGCAGCCCCAGCCGGAGCCCCTGCGGCTCTGGAAACTCCAAAACTCAACGTGGCTGATACTTACTCCAACCTGACAGAGGCCTCCAAGAAAGTCTTGTCAAAGAGCCACCGGAAGAAGAAATCCAGACTGAAAGAAAAATGAATCCCATAAGAATTTATTTCTAACATTCCATGTGATCACTACACGTTTTCATTTTTTTTCTGCTCTGAAAGACAGGCGGAATCTCAAAATCTACATTTGTTCTCTAAAATGCTATTACTACAATGTAACTTAATCAGTGCCTGTTTTAACAGCAAGTTCCTTCCTGAGAAACAAAGCCAGGAGTAGACCCCCCACCTAAGTAGGAAGTCGGTGATGTTTCGTTTTCATGCTTTTTTCTAAGCAAGAAAGATCTATCTACGGAAGAATCAATGGGCCAGTGCCACTGCACTCCACGTGGGTGGGACAGGCTTAAACGTTGTTAGGGCATCTGGTCCCAAACCATTTCCATTTTCCTGAGGACAGTGCTCTCCAGATGTGACCCTGAGTCTGAATTCAGGGCAGAAGGTGTTGAGATGTACCTGGTGAGGCCGAGAGAGGGCAGAATTAGCACCATGAAGATCAAGAATATGTAGACCTTGGTCATCATGATCCGGTTTTCCCCTGACCTGCAGGAAGTCAGAGGTGAGCCCTCACAGTCCCTCAAATGCTCCAGATGTCCCCAGTAAGGCCCCTGCTGCGTGTGCATTGCCCTGGGAGGGGGCATCAGAGACACGCTTCTCAGGGGAGGGGCCCTGAGCTCCCGGGCACTCACGTGGTCCAGTGAGACTCCAGCAGCGTAGAGTAGTAGACGATGGTGGGGAGCAGGGCTGAGAAGGACCACAGGAGGAGGGTTGGGAAGAACTGGCTGATGATTGGGTCCTAGAAAACAAGGGCCTCACTAGAGTGAGTCGGGGGACTGTGGGCCACGGGGGCTTTGAGGCCATGATCTGTTAGCAGGGCGGCACAGTGAACTCCTGGGGTCCGGTTTTGATCATCCTTGACCCCCAGAACCAGTGCTGTGCCTGGTACAACATAGATATTCCATAACGTTGGATGAACAGGCAATAACAGGACTTGATATTTGTAGAGCTCTTTAGAGCCAAGAAAGCAACTTCACATCCAACTGAGCTCCACTCATCTCACTGACCAGAGACAACCTCCTCTGTTCCCTGGAGAAAACCAATGATGGATGCCAAGGGAAGATGGAACGATGGAGGCCAGGGCCCTCCGCAGCTGGCCTGCCCTCTCAGCTCCAACCCGACTCACCAGGACTGCTTCATGTTTGTCCCCAACCCCATCTAGGCCCGTTGTATTGTTATCATAACTACATGGTTCGATTAACTGAGTACTTTCCCTGATTAAATGTGCATCAAAATAGAGAGAAAATCTCTGAAAACTAAGTTGGATACTTTCCAAAGACTTGAGAAAGGCCAATTTCTTACAAATGCTGTTGAATTAGAGGAAAGCAAGTCAACTATAAAAGAGAAGGAAATGGAATCTGGGAGGCTCTATACTTAGAACAGCTTTGCAAGTAACTTCACATTCTTGCTTTACTCCAAGAAACCACAATGAAATGAGGGTGTGGTTCACGTAAAAGAGAAAAGGGGACTCTCATCAGCAGATCCTCCCTCAAAAGAACACGCCTTGACCACTTATCAAAGGATTGGCAAGGAATGAACATCTACATGCTTGAAATCTAAACAAAACTGCTTAATGTACCCTATGTACTTCTTATATATACTGAGTCAGATAAGAGGGCTTCAACCACACGTTAGCTATTCGAGCATCATCACAGCAGCCCCGTGAGTATAACACGGCAGGGGTTTTAACTCCAGGTTTTGGATGAAAAGCCAAAGCTCAGAACCCATCAGCCAGGGACTGGCCGGGCGACGACCAGGACCTCTGGCCCCCAGCCCAGCATGCTTCCCAGCAGGATTAAATGCCACATGGGACTGGAAGACAGAAGGAGATTCAGGGTCATTTTTCAGCAAAGCCAATATGGGAAACCCCTATCTTTTTAAGTAGATGCCAATTCAGGGCATGTTTAGCTGTTATCTCATGGATTCATCTAAGATTTTTAAAAATCATTCATTCCCTATCTAGAATCAATGACTTTATAACAAGATTATCAGAAACTGAAATGTAAAAGAAATAATTAACTTATGATTCTGCCACTCCAGTCAACAAAGCTCTTTTCATTCTTTCCTACCTGGTCCCCGCAGCATCCACTGTACACACGAATCACTACGACCATTGTGTAGAGACAATTTTACATTCTACTTTTATCACAAGCCCCCCACGTCTGCCACAAAGTCTAGACCATTTCTTAATGGATGTTTAACATTCTATCAGACTGAATATACCTCATTCAACTCAAAGGACCTCTACTGTTGAACATTTAGATTGATTCCATTAAAATATATACATACGTTACTATATTACAATATATAATATATACAAATATATATATTACTACATTACTATATATATTACTCATTACTATGAAGACATTGTAATAAATATGGCCATGCCTGCTCAGGGCTTCAAAGCACAGACATGAGCTGAGTGACATGGCCTCCTGGTTCAGTGTCCCCCACATCCCCTGGTTCCCATTCCTCCCCCACACACCAGCCCTCCTGTTTCCAGCCCCACTGGGATGGGCCCTGCAGAATGCTCACTCACATTCAGCGCACGGATGGGTTTGGTGACATTGAACTTGTCCATGGTGGACAGGATGATGGAGGGTGTGGTCAGAAAAAACAGCACCACGAAGAGAGTGAAGTTGATGCCCAGCCACTGGAACCACCAGCGGAGGCCCTGGACAGAGAGGTTCTTCCTGCAGAGGGGAGGACACAGGCCCTGTAAGCTAATCTCCCAGGCCCTGGCCACCTAGACACCAAGAGCGCCCCCAGCTTAGGAGGGTCAGAAGGTCAAGGGCTCATTTCCACCTCAGGAGTACACACAAGCGTTCTGCACTGACCTTCAGCTATAGGAAGGTCAAATTTTGGGTTCCTGTGAGCTCAGAGGGCAAACAGGTTATTCGCTGCTAACGTGGCTCCCCAGCTGGAGTCTGGGTGTTAGAACCTGCCTAAAGGGCTACATGAGCACGCAAGCAGACCAAACGAGGCTCTGACACGGCCATTCTTAGACATGCCTGCTATGCTCTGTGACTAATGACACATTCTTCCTGCGGGGGCCACGGTCTGGGGTGCAAGGAGGACGGAGGCAGGGACAAAGGTACAAAGACCCAGCTGGACCCTGCCCTGGCCTCTCACCCACCAAGAACAGACCCACAAACCAATCCCAGGTTTAGACAGCCCTATGAACCCAAGAGCAGAAGAGTCAGAGGCCGAACTAGAGCCCAGTGGAGACAAGCACCCAAAGCTCGCTCTGGGTGAGGAACTGAGCCAGGCTGGACGGCCAGCCGTGCTGGGGCCACTGCTGGGGCTGCCCTCACCCCGGTCACTGGGCTTAAGGCTCCAGATGGACCTGCAGACACGGCTTAGCTCACCAGCATGTCCCCCAGGCTAGACAGGCTGCTGACACACTTGACCTAAGGCGGCACTGTCCCATACAGTAGCCACGAGCCACATGTGACTACTGAGCATTGAAATGTGACTGCTCCAATCAAGATGTGCTAGAAGTGTAAAATCCACACTGGATTTCAAGACCATGAGTATAAAAAGGAGAACGTAAAACACCTCAATTTTTAAAGAACTGATTACATGTTGAAATGATAATATTTTGGATATATAGGGAGAGATACGTTATTAAAACTAATTCCAACCGTTTTTTACTTTTTTAACATAGCTACAAGGAAATTTAAAATTCCACATGTAGCTTGCATTATATGCCTACTGGACCCGCTGATGCCAGGGAGCAATGCTGGAGTGAGGTGCTAGGTGAGGACGCGCACCCCCGCATCCCGCCCTCCACCCCCAGCCCAGACAGCTGCAAGAGACCTGTGTGGTCTCCCTGAGTGCAGGTCACATCTGTGCTTCCAGGTGACAGGGGGTAGGGGGAGGCGTGGGGGGAGCCCCCACCGCCGCCCAGGCCTCTTTCCCGCCCCTCCCCAGCCCGGGGCTCACCAGCAGATGTCCTCGGGGTAAGAAGCGAAGGTGACCGTCCACTTGGAGGGGCAGAGCTCTCTGCTTTGGGAGGACGGCTGGGGCTCACCTTTGCACCGAAGGCCCTGACACTTGCAGGCGTTGAAGTCTTTCAGGATGCTGCCAGGAAATGCAGAAATGCCAGGGCCCAGACCACCCGGGGTACCAGGTACATACATGGCCAACAGGACCCAGTGAGAGTGGGAGCCTCGTGGCACAGGGCTTTGCCGTATTATTAGTCCCTTATCATTCACGCTATGAAGAGATGCCATGCTCGGCATACTATGTGGAGGATTTTGTTTAATCCTGAGAACAGCTCTACAAGCCAGGGATTACTATTCCTATTTCACAGATGAGAACACCGATGCTCTCTGAGTTAGGTTCTGCGCCCCATCCATCTGACTCCAGCGTCCATGCCGTTTGTACTGCCCCGCACTCTGCTCCTCCTCGGGGCCGTCCCCCTCTGCCCCGCCCAGGAAGCTGGAGCATGGTTGCACCCTGCTGCCAGTGGCCTCACCTTTCCAGCCCTCTCTTCTTCCGCAGCCCCAGAGCAGCACGAGACCATGTTACATGTGGCCTGTTCCCATTCTGACTCCAAGATTTCCCTCTCTAGGACTCCCACCTCAACCCTCGCCACTCTTTCCCCCTTTAGTCTCATGAAGAACCCACCAGTGCCCTGCTCCTCTCCCCCTGCACCCCTCCTCTTGCCACTGGCCTCCTCCAGGCCCCCTCACTTCCGGGTCTGCAGGGCACATCCGGGAGACTGTTCCCAGGGTCCACGCTGCCCGAGCAGGGAAGACACGGGAAGGGGCATTTGCCTGGCCGCCTCCTTTCCATGTCATTCACCTGACCCCATCCCCTGTGGCTCCCAAGGCCAGATGACACCAGATCTCAGGAGCTTTATGAGCTGGGGCCCAGGCCAAGGAGCACTATGGGAATGCACTCCCAGGGCCGGGCTCTCCGCAGCCGTGAGTGCCCTGGGTGCCCAGGGCTCTTCCCCACAGCTGTGCAGTGGTAGGAGGATGGGACGCCCATCCTCAGAAGGATCTGTGGTCCCAGAGTGCACATCTGAAGGAGGGCGGCATCCATCCCACCCGGCAGAAGGCTGGGACACAGAGGCAACGGCACCCGGGGGGCAGCTGGAGAGAGCCCAGCAGGGGGAAAGGCCACATCAACCCAGGAGGGGCTCAGCTAGAATCACCCGGGCCCAGCTGTCCACGAACAAGGGCTGGGCTCAAAGAGGGAGTGAGCGTGATGCTGCCTCCCAGCCACGCCCGGGAAGGAGATGGAAATGCCAGAGACAAATCCCAGCCATGCTGACTCAGAGGGACAGCAAGTCATCTGGAGGGGACAGGGAGTCAGCCGAGGAGGTGGCTGGGACACGCCCACACTCACTAGGTGGCCATGGACTTCTCCTGGAAGGTGACGAAGGCCATTCCCAGGGGCTGTTCCCGGACCCTGGATTCCTCCTCTGTGATCTTCTCCATCAGCCGGTCCTTCATGCCCCTGTAGTAAGAGATGGCGTCCTCCTGCCAGAGGACACATCTCCTTGTGATGACGTGGCCCTGCGCAGGTGTCGGGGGACCCCAGTGCCTGCACTCCTGATTGAGGTGTGGGTCCTCACCCGCTCACACCCTGGCACTTCGCAGCAGCAGAACTGGCCGCAGGGCTTGGTGTTGATGAGGGTCCTCTGGCCTGTCTTCATCTGCAGGTTTGTGTAATAGGTCAGGCTCTTCTCGGTCGTTTTTCTGCAGTGGAGGGAGAAACTTCAGACTCACAGTCCTGTGGTATGGACCCCACACTCACTGTTCAACCATTGGTCACCACCAGACCCGGGAGTTCAGCTTTCTGAACAAGAAAGGGGCGGAGCCACCCTCCCCCCTCCCCAGCTCGGGGAGCCAAGGCCACCATGGAAGAAGGGTGAGCATCTCAGAGGGGGAAGTGCGTCAGACAGCTGCGGGCCAGCTTAACCCAGGCACGCCCGCCCGCCAGCCCTCCCTTACCTCTCCTGGCACAGGTCCATCAGCCTGGCCACATTGTAGCAGAGCTGGACCTCCACCACTTCACACGTGGGGTACGCGTCCCTGTGCCCAGCACGGGCCAGAGGCAAAAGACGGCCATTAGAAAAGAGAACCCCCAGGTGGGAGAGACCCCCAAGTCTCCAAGAGTGGCAGAGCAATCACGCTGCTCATTTCTGTGCCAGCAGAAACCTCTTTTCTCTTTGTCTTTACCAAAGGGCGAAGTTTTGAAATTTAATACAAATAAGGCTTTAACAGCATGAAAGTAAAACTGCCAAGTTCATACCCACTTGGCTTTAAATCGGCTGGCACTTTCTCTGGGGAAAAATGAACACTGTTCGTTATCTCTTCTACCCACCCGAAGGAACAGGTTTATTGTCTGCTCTAGGTCCTATCTGCCTTGGACCATCACTGAAATCCTTCAGTCTGTGACCCTTTTGAAGGTCACAGGCATTTTAGGTCTAATGAAAGCAAAGGACCCTCAGTGCAGAAAACGTCCACACACACCTTCACAATCACAGTAAAATGCTCATAAGTGTGCCATATACATACTTACTACTGGCCAGGTACTGTCACAGCGTTAACTTATTTAATCCTCACCATAGCCTGTGAGGTTTTGTCCCCATTTTACGGATGAGGAAAATAAGGGTCAGAGAGGTTAAATGACTTCTGCCCCAGGTCACACAGCTGGTGAGTGTCTGAGGCAGGATGTGAATCCAGGTGGCCCAGCTCCAGGGCCCATGTCTGTAGCCACCATACGATGCTCCCTCAGCGTACACATAAAACCGTACACACGGCTCCTGGGGCGTCCTGGACCATGTAAATCCCCACCTACTACATGTAAAGCCCCACCTACTATGTGTAAAGCCCCACCTACTACGTGCCAGGCACTGTGCTGGGTACCAGGGATGGAGCCTGGGTAAGTTTACACTTTAGTGAGAGAGACAGCCCATAGACACATCAATCATTCATTTACTGTCGTGTGCCACATAACAACATTTCAGTCTAGGATGGAACACATATACGATGGTGGTCCCACAAGATTAGTACCATATAGCCTAAGTGTGTAGTAGGCTGTACCATCTAGGTTTGGTTAAGTACACTCTATGATGTTCACACAACAACGAAACTGCCTAATGGCACATTTCTCAGAACGCATCCCCGTTGTTAAGCGATACATGAGTGTAATCAGTAGGACAATTTCAGGTCTCAGAGCTCTGAGGAAGAGAACTGCGGTGTACACATCCCTGCTACAGGGCAAGTTCACACGTCACTCCCCATGGATTGCAGCATCGTGCATAGAAGGGCCTCCTAAGACAGGAGAAAGTGTGACTCAGTGTTTGTCTGGGCAGGAGGAGACCTTTTCCTCTTTAAGCTTATACATTCAGTGGAACTACTGTTTCCAAATGTGGCCTAGCAGGCAACTCTGGGAGCTGTTTCAAAGATAGAGAAGAATGATTCCAGTGTCCAGGGTTTATATATAAAAGAATATTTCTCAAATAGTTGGAGTTTCTGAAGAAGAGGTTAGTCAATAAATTTTAACATTCTGTTTATATTAATAGTTCACTTAGCAAGTGTTCTTATAAATAACACAGTTAAACTGTAACCAACCCCAACTCCAGACTACAACTTAGTGATGCTGAATCGATGACGAATGAATACAGACTAAACCTCAGCTCCTGGCCCCGCTTCAAGCATCTCCAGCCCAGGATCCGGGGACCTTCCTGGCCTGCTGGCCCCCGCCCACCTCCTTTCCTGATGCTCCATACGAGTCCCCCTGGGGCCTTTGTCTGCATTCCCGGCATTGTGCACACAATTTCCTTCACACAGGAAAGCCCTTCCTCCATCCTCCACCTGCAGCAATCCATGGGGCAGGTGCTCAGGGGGGCTGCTGGAAACGGGGTTCTGCAGGGGAGAGCTCAGATTCACTGACCAGTGAGCTCTGTGAGGACAGGGCTCCAAGAGATACCTGCTGAGTGGATGGATGAACCAATGGATGCATAGATGGTTCCCTTCCCTTCTGAGACTGGCTCTGTCTCATATATCTTATTGTGAAAAGCTGACGCTGAGAACCCTGGGGGGAATCCTTCTCTTTTCCCAAAAAGAAATCATTGTCTTTGCACCTACACCCTGGCCCGCACTCTGGTTACACTGGTCACATGGGGCAGCCGTGGCTGCCTGCAGAGGACGGGCCACCTCAGCCCCGGGCCCCTCCACAGCACCAGCAGAGCTAACACACAGCAGCCATTCGATGCTCATGTGGCAGGGCCAGGCCCTTCTTGGACCTCACCCGTGTGCCCAAAGGGAAAACGTCAGGTGCTCACCTAAGGCGCCTGCCCCGTGGGACTGTGCTGGTCGCCCTTGGAGGGGGCTCAGCTCCCCTTCCCACCCCACAGCCCTGCTCACCGGAAGTGGTTCTCCACGGTCTCCTTCCTGGCATCTCTGGGGAGTCCTGTGATGAACAGCGTCCGCCTCACCTGCCAGAGAAACACACCAGGGAGAAAAGTCACCAGGGCCAGCCAGCCTGCAGGTGAGCCCAGGTTTTCCACCCCCTTCAAGCCTCCCAAAGGAAAACAATGGGAACTCAGAAGGCTCAGGTGTTCTTCCGTGGCCTGGCAGAGCCCTGAAGCCTGTTATTCACACAGCATCTTCTTCCAGGCTGCACAAAGAATACTTTTCCAAAGCAATTCCATGAGCCTCCTGTGTGACAGGAGACTGAGAAGAACCCAGAGAGGGGAAGTGACTCAAATGGGGTCACACAGCAGATCAGAGGAGGACCCAGGCCTGGGACCAAGTCACAGAACCACTCCCCCATGGTGGTCACTTTAGTTACTTAGAGTCAGTAACTACAAGCCCAAACACCACAAATCTGAGGGCTAGTTGGCAGAATGAGGGAAAAATATCTAAATCTTAGAACAATCTATCAGAAAATTAAAAAAAAAGATAATGCCAACTTTGAGTGCAAATATGCAAGCCAGATTCCACAGAGGGCCCCCCTCCCCCACCCGCCAAGCTCACACTACATTGGTCCACTGAAATGAGTCTGGGCTGCCATTCCTTCCGGCCTCTCCTGAGACCCTCCCCAGCACAGCCAGCCCCCAGCCTCACTCACCAGGTTGTCCTCTGAGCACCTGATGGACCGGGTGTGGTGCCGCATGCAGCCCACGGTGAGGAAGAGGTAAATGACGGCAAAGACGGAGTGCAGCCAAAGGAGGTTGTTGCTGAGGAGGGGACGGCGCCCACCATCAGGGCTGGGCTCCCAGGCAGGGACTGAGGGTGCAAGGGCTGGGCGGGGTTGCCCTCATGGCACTGGGCTGAGGGCCGAGGGCTTCATCACCACAGACGCCTCCAACAGAGGCCGTGTGGCCCACGTGAACACTTGAGACGTCCCCTGGCCCTGTCCTGACACCCAAACCCCAGTCCCAGGGGGCCTCCGTGTTTCCTAAAACCCGCTGCAAAACTGCAGCTGCCGGGGCGTGTCCCTGCCCACAGCCCAGCAGCACACTCGCTTTCCGCTTGGTCCCACCCATCAGCACCCCCACACCCTCCACCCCAACTCACCCAGTCTGTAGGTTTGCTATTGTCGTCCTCCCAAAACTGTAAGGGTTTTTGTCTGCAGAGAAGCACAGATTGTTAGTCCAGGGTCACAGTGGGGAGGGGGACAGGGGCAGGACCAGCCTTGGTGTCTGGAGCTCTGAGGAGAAGCATAAGCCGGCCAGCCCAGCGGGAGGACAACGACATCTGTCCAGTCTTTTCACAGCTACAACAACCATGGCCTCTACTTCACTCCAAGACGCTCCCTGACAACTTCCCAACCTACCATGTGGGCAAAGTCAAATTGGAATTCGTCTTGCTTTGAGATTCTTGTGGCGTTCCCTGAGAAATCTAGAAACATCCTAAGCTGCTCCCAAAACCAAGGCTGGGAATCACTAGGGCATTAGAAGTAGATTTGTGGTGACATTTTGGAAGCCGGATTCCTGCAGTTGCTTGGAAATATAATTCCATGCCCTGATTTTGACTCTGAGCATCACAAACACCTTCTGGATCCCATAACTGTAGCCTTCTGACTTGGGTGGGGCAGGAAAGTGTAAAGTACTCTCTTAAAGCCCCTATTTCCATAGATCTTGGGTTTTTCCTCCTACTTAGATAGAACTGGAATTGATATTAGAGGCCCCTGCTCTTGGCCCAGGTTTGGAGTGGATTCTTCTCCAGATCTTTAATCAGATGGAAAAGTCCAGAACGTCACCTTGAGACCCTCTCACATCTGAACGTGGGCACGAATCCTGGGGTTCTGGTCACCACGATGAGCCCTTCCCCTAGGGCTGCAGCTCTGCCCGGGCCCAACTCAGACAAGACGAGGGGTCCTTACCCAGCAAGTCTCCCGAGAGGTTGACGGGCAGGATGACACACAGAGACAGGAAGCTGACCACCACCAGCAGGAAGATGATGTGTTTCTGGAAGGACAGGTAGTGGATGGCGTCCTCCCCACACCGCTCGCGGATCTGGTCATCGCTGGCAAGACACACACACGGGATCTCAGTGAGCAGTAGTAACAGGCCGGGCCCGGGGTCTTGTACGGATTGTCTCATTTAATCCCCATGACCGTCCTGTGAGGCAGGTTCTCATTTTATCCATATTTTTTTACGTATGAGGAAGCAGAGACACAGAAAAACTGCATAACTTTACGGTCACATGGGTTATAACAGCAGAGCTGTGACAGAACTTCAGAGCTGCCCTCAGCCCCACAGTCCTGGGCATGGGAACCTACCACCACTACATCTGACAGCCCTAGAAACATTTGTGCCCACATCTGCACGTGGGTGAGGTGTGTAAATACACTCACCCACAGCCCCTCCCGCGTCCATGGACAAGAAAGCCACCTACGGTGCCTGCGGGGCAGCCCCTCCTGAATGAAGCTGGGGGGAGCCCCGGCTCAAGGCCTCATCTCTTCTCCGTCTCCCCTCAGACGAGCTGGGAGAGAGAGGTGCAACCACTGCTCTAAACGTTCCATGGCTCAGTCCATCCTGCTGCCCCCGCCACGTCCCTGCCATGGCCCCAGAGATGGGGGGTGACTGGCTCCGCCCTTTCCCACCCTCAGTGCTGCATTTGGAGGCTCCAGGTCACTGGGGGACCCAGAAAATTCCGGGTTCTCACAGCCAGACTGCCGTGCTATGCAGGGAGCCGGGGGATCTCCCCCTTTCCACTCTCCTGAAGGGTCCTGCTTCCGGAAGGCCGGGAAAGCACTGCCCTGGGAAGAGTCAGGGAAGCCAGCACTGCAGCATAAAAAGGCAGATCTGAAAGGTGTGGAGCGTGTGCTGTGCGCTCAGACAGACAGACGGACCACAGTGGAATCCAGCTCAGCCCCCTCCGGGAGCGGGTCACGGGCTCACTGAGGCTGGGACCTGAAGCAGGGAAGCTACTGCCGCCAGGTCCCCGGAGACTCAGCAGGTGCCCAAGAGGCGGCAGGACCAGGCCCCCGACGTCGCGCCCGCACCTGGCGGATGCTCGGAAGGATGCTCGCTAACGTGACTCCTTTCTACCATTTACCCGGAGGACGAAGCTTTGCAATGAACTACACTGCTCTCACTTCTGCCTAAACCACCAAATGACACACTTTGCAAAATACGTGCCTACGAAACAAACATTGAGGAAGATCAAAACCAACAAGTCAGCAGTTTTCAGTACAGTTTTCCATGAGATGCTCTTCTGACTTCCCTATCCTGCTGGGGAAAGGCCACTCAGAAGGAAACGGAGAGGCCTCTTTACAGGTCAGTTGTAACACTGGCCACGAGCAGCTGTTAAAACTTAATTGTAGCTTCAAAAAAGCCAAAGGGCAGTCCATTCTGTGACTAGAAGAGAAGAGAAGCAGCACTGGGAGTTGAGACGGAAAAATACGCCTGATACGGCACTAAAATGACCAAGCAGAATACACAGCTGCACCCACACAACAGCCCCACTCGATGTCCACGCGGAGGGGACTGGAGGGGGACACGGAACAATGAAACAGCAGGAACGGCGAGGGGAGCGACTGCACTGCAAACTTGTCAACAGCCTTGCTGGTTACCAGGAAAACGATGAGCCTGAGTCCTGGTTTTGCCCCACCCGGTCCAGGCTGAGAGTGGGTCCACAGCCCACGGGTAGGAGGGGTGGTCTGAGCCCCCACCAGCAGAGGCCATGGAGAGCGGCCCTCCAAAGGAAAACAAGCTGTGGCATCTTTCAGAGGTGGGTTATGGTGACTTACAATTCCTTCTTATTGCTTCTTTTCTGTGTGTGATGGACTTGATCACAGTGACTGTATCACTTCCAACATGAGGAGGAAATGTGTCCTAGTGACACGCTTTGTCAGGGGCAGGGAAGGGTGGTGTTGGCAAATCCACCTCTCCCACCACGGACCCCTCCCCCGTGAACCCCCTCCTCCTGCCCCCTCCTGCTCCAGACCAGAGGTCACTGTCTGCTTCTCCAGAAACCCTGCCTCCTGCCGGTTCCCGAGAACAGCTCCCACCCAACTCTACCGTTTACAACATGCTCTCGCGCGTACTAATTCATTTGATTCTGACAGGGCAGATGCTATCCTCGGCCCCTTTTACAGTTGGGGAAACTGAGGCCCAGAGAGAGGGACTTACCCAAAGTCCTATAACTACCATATTTCATCAATTCTAAGACGTCCTTTTCATATTTCGACCCCTCTGAAATGGGGTGCACCCTAAAGTCATAGCTGATCACAGCCTAACAGGCAGCATTTCGCATCCCCAGTGCTGTGTACAATAAGGCGTGTGTGACAACGATGGCTCCTTAGACTCGCTGGACACAGCAGCAGGTGGCAGAGCCGAGACCCACGTCTTGGCTCCTCCACCACATGAGAGGAGACCACCCAGCTCTTAATACCGAGAGCCTCTTCAGGATTTCTCTCCACAGCCCCAAGTTTTGAAAAAAGAAAACGTTTAACCAAGTGAGCTGAATGTATCACGCAATCATTATTTCTCCACTTTTCACTAAATCAAAGACATGCAAAACGGCCTAGAAGGGCTTCCACCCAAATATATCAGTGTTAACTATTAGTAGATAAAACTCCCGCCTAAAGCAAAACATTGGTTTCAATTAGCTTGCGGGGGGCAGCCTGGGCCACCTGGATTCTCGGCCCCCACACACTGCCTCAGACAAGAACTGAAAAGAATCTAAGAGACCCCAGCGCCGGGCCAGGCGTCTTGGCTCTTTCCTCCTGTTTGGCCCAACACCCAAACAGACCCGCCCATACAAACACCCCCAGCCGCCCCTGCTGAACCCACCTCAGACTGAAGATCGCCGTCAGCCAGGGGCAGCATCCCTGGAAACGGAGAGAACGGGGGTTAGCTTCCAACATCTTTGTCTTTGGGAGGCAGACAGAATCATCGTCTTTGACATTAAATAACCATTAACTCCTCTTATACAAAAACAGGGCTTTTGTCCCAAATTCAGCAAGTGACTCCCTTGTCTCACACGTGACAGAGTCTGCACACTCCCAGTCCTTCAAAATATGCACCTGTGCCTGGAAATCTGAGGAAAACCTCTCTAGTTCTGACAATTTGTGGAGTTACACATTTCCCTTCCCATTTAGAGAGGGAATAGGGTCAGTAGGTTTTCTTGTCCATCGCGTCTCTTACACTTACTACTCCCTAAAGCCGGACTGTTACCAGCTGGGAAAGACAAATATTCATTCATCATTCGTTCGACAATTACTCAGCAGCTCCTGGGTGTCAGGGGCTGGGGAACAGTGCTGGGTAAGACACGGTCCCTGCTCACATTTGGCTCATAAGCTAGCGGGCACGTTAACAATTAACTGTCCCAGCAAGCCCTTACAAGTGCTGGGACCACAGGGGATTCCGCAGCCCGCTGCCTGAGAGTCAAGTCTCAGGGTCCTGGGTCATCCAGCTGCCCTCTTCCCTGTGGCACTTCCCGACTTCAGGAGCCTCTGTCAATGCAGAGAAGAGCTCTCACCAGCAGCTGCCACTCGAGACCGGGGACTAGGTTAGCACAACTGCCCTCTCTCCGCCAATTCATTATTGCCCATCCCTGCCCCACCCCCCCAGCCACAACACAACTGTCCCTCAAATACCAACCAGCTCGCTTTCAAAGTCGTGTTGCCCTGAGGAGGAAGACGACGATAATCTCTGGAATCTGGACCCACTAGAAACACAGAGGAAAAAATGACAGATAATTCTTTTAAAAAGTCTAAAGACTTATGTCCAGTATCTTGCTGCCTCTTAGAGTTCAGGAGCAGAGCTACTAGCCCCCAATGGCTGGGACAAAATATAACCCACCCTGTGAACAATACAGACGAGGGCAATGGCCATCCCTAGGTGTGGCAAAACAAACTCTCTGTTATATGGGATGAACACTGTGGGGTCAGCACATCATGGACCATCCTGTGCCCACACCCTGGAACCTCTGCATCGTGACTGGGTGACCTAAAGTGACTCCAAAGTGTTGCCTGTCTACAATATTTCCCAATACAGCAAATGAAACTTGGAATATACTGTATTTTATCAAATCTAACACACCACTGGTTGTAAGGAGCACAATTATTTTATGAACCACTAAGAAAGAAAAAACGCTGTTGATTAAACTATGAGCACCATTGATAATAAGTTACATCCCAGAGACTAGAAAATGTCAAAATGTGCTTTTTAGAGTTGATGAACTATGACATTTTAATCAGATCCTTTCTTCTGAGTAACCCATAAAAATGGCCCCAGCACTAGGAATTTGAAGTCTTTGCAATACGTTAATTTTGCTTCTCTCTATTTTCCTATCCTGGCTCCACCATCCCACCTCTAATGGCATAAGACATGGAGAATCTTAACCCTCAAAGCCGTTATGGAGAACTGTCTCACTTGACCCTCACAGCCAGGGAGGTGGCGGGGTCTCCTGACGTCCAGTGCTCTACTCTATTGCGGGACACAGCCCCTCCTAGGGGTGAATGTGCCACAAATGCATGGGATGTCCCAAAAGCTCCCCCCACCCCCACAACAGGCTAAGGCTCCAACACAGCTGAGTAGGACCTGCCACCTGACCCCACGGTTAACGCCCTGGTGCTTTCGCAAATGCCAGAGCAGAGACTGTGGGGAAAGAAGGTGCGTTTACAGATACACCCCTCACCCCTCCTGCACAGACCACATTTCAACACAGGAGCAGCCTGTGGAGCAAGAGTGGAGGGTCGACCTGGAGAACAGCAGGGGAGGCTCTGGGCGGGGCAGCCTGGGCCAGTCCCCGTGTCTTCCCCACTCGCTTCCTATTGCTGCATCCGACACCAGCGGTGCATCCTGCAGTGTTCGACAGCTGGCTGGAGCTGAAAACTTCAGTGGCGCAGATCTGGCGTTCATTTTCCCCCTTCAGGTGACGTGAGCACAGAGCCGTCAGAGCCCAGGGTGCAGGTGGAAGGCCCTGAGGTCTGGCAGAGGGAGTCTGTGCTTTGTAACAGACTCGCCTGAAGCCGGCTGAGTCAGGGCCATCAGCCCGCACTGACCAGGAAGGAGGACGGGAGCAGCTCACCCACGGCCCTACCGCCCTTCTTAATCCGCCCCAGCTCATCCCTGGCCCCAACTAATGATTTTCAAAGAAGGTACACTGGAAAATATTCAAGATGAGAAAGAAACTGGCATCCTAGGCTGACGATGAAAGCCCTAACCATCGAAAGCAATTAGATTCCTCCATAGCCTGAAGCCAATGAGGTTCAGAGCCATGGCCAGGCCAAAGCCCCAGGAGAGAGCTGGGTGTGTGGGTCTTGGTTTCTCATCAGATAATGAGTAATGAGGCTGACCTCCCAGGTCTGTGGTGAAGAGCAGAGACACAGTTTCTGGTACAGGCCTGGCAGATACACTCAAAGAACACAATCTAATATCAGCGTCATGTGTGGGCCCTGCCTGGTGGGCTTCACAAGCCCCCATCCCGTCCCAGTCACTCACACACACACACACACATACACTCTCACATTCCACGTGATGTTTCTTTCTTACCTGTCTGCTTCTGACACCAAGGCAATACGGCCATAATCCCAGAATCTTCTTCTTATGATGGAAAACACCAATATTAAAAACTAAAAGGAGAAGAGAAACCAAGTGAAAACATATGGATGATTCTAATTAGAAGAGACAGCTGTCTCAGGGGCAAAGCCCACCTGCCTAGACTCAGTAGGGCTAGAAGGGCCTTGGAGATCACCCAAATCCAGAGAGGGTACTGAGCTGCCCAAGGCCACACAGCTCAATGGCCCGATGCTTTGCTCACCCCCTTCACCAGCTCCCGTCGCCTGTGTCCAAGTCACGAAGGCCAACGCCGAGCTTGCTCTGGTGCCCTCCTAGTCAAGCTCACCTGTCCTGTCCTTTGCTCTCAAGGCAGCATCAGCAGCCACGACCTTCCTCCGCTCATCTGCCTTCAGCGGCCCCTGAGCAGGAAGGCAAGGTCTAGCCTCACAGCTGCCCTGTGGACCTGCGCCCTTCCTCACTTCAAACAGAGTTTCATTTTAATTACAGAACCAAGGTCAGAGCACCCCCAGGCTGAGCCGGAAGTGGCCACATCTCTACTTAGAGTTTGGTTCTCCTGGAGGCAAGCCCTGTGGATGCCCAGCACGCAGCTGGCAGGAGACGATGCCCACCGAGGACCTGGTGCTCTGGCCGGCTCAGCCCCCACTAGCTGGGGCCCTAGGTGTCTCTCTAAACCACTTTTAGCTCTAAAATTCTGTAAATTCTAGTCTGTCTCCTCTCTCCCTACACGTCCATCTTGGCAGGTTCTCGAACCTCTTCCTGCCTCTCTCTCTCCCCTCCCTGGACAGGCTCCCTCCTTCAAGGTTCAGGAGGTAGAGAGATGTTTTCATTAGCATATCCCTGCCTGCCCCAGTCAGGAACTGGGGTTTCAAATGTGGGTTTTGTTTTCCTAAAGGGAATCCAGGGGGCCTGGACCCCAGAGGGGCTGAGTTCCCGTGGAATTTTCTCAGGGTGGATCAGGAAGTTGGTGATACATTTTCAAAGGCAGGTGAGTCGTGTTGTAGGATAAACAGGAAGGCTGCTCAGCCAGTGCTGCCCTCTCTGCCCGGCTGCTGCTTCCTAGGCTCCTGTGGTGTGGCCATCTCCCACGTGTCCATGTTTCCCAGGCCCCTCTGGCTCTTATGTGCACCCCCATAACTTCCTGCAATAAAAACCCACCCCCACCAGCACACCCCAGTGGAGAGCCACTCTCTCCTCCACTGATCCTGTTCCAGCCATACCTACCCCACCCGCCTGGGGCCCTGCCCATCTCCCTCTCCAGACTTCTCACCTTGGCCCAAACTCTCCCATCCCTGAAGATGCTGGATTACAGCTCTTCCATTAATCCCACTGACCCCCAAATCCATCACCACACTCCCGCCTACTCCCCGCTCTCAACCAAGGCTGGTACATATGAGAGTGTTCTCAACCTGCAAATGGGTTTTAGCTCCAAGAGATGGGTTATTTGACACTTAAAATAGCCCTTGTTGAAAAACGCAACTCGAGTAGCATACAGGTTCCCTCATCAGCCCATAAAGGACCAACAATGTAGCATAACTAGTGCAACAATTCAGACCACAATCCCAGGCAGGAAACTGGAAAGAGAAGCAGTGGGGAACTCCCTCCCCCCTTTCTATGAACATTTTTGTGCCAGCAAACTCATGTTTGATACCCACTTCCTCTCAGGGACAGGGCCCCATGCTACCCTAACTCCCCGTCCCCGAGGCCCCGCCCAAGCCTCGCCTGTGGCCCAAAGCAGCCCAAGGGAGTCTACTCCCTCCTCCCCCATCTTGCCCCCTGTACTCAGATGGTCTCCACTGCATGTTAGGAGAAGGCATGAACAGGGACCGACCATTCCATGGGCATTTATGAAAAGAAGGTGCGCCTTAGCCCCAGTAAATTTCACCCAACCAATGTTGAGTCAGCACAGGGAAGAAAATGGTGTATTTCAAATTGGAGGGACCTTTGGGAACAAGCAGGTCTACATTACAGAAAGGCCACCTGTGAGGTCACTCTGACCAGGTCTGCCTTTCCCCAGCTTTCTCCACGTCTCATCCTCTAAAAGGCCCAGGGACCCCCTGGGGAACAGGAGGTGACATGTATAAATTGGGAATAGCAGCTGCTCTGATTCTAACCCACACTCTCCATTCACATGCCTCCTCCCTGTGTACTGACCCTTCCCGAGGGCCTTAAACACACGACAGGCTGATAACTCGGTAATAATCCAGGGAGCAGGCATGTGTGTTCTTTCCACACGTTGCCTCATTTAATCTTCTCCAAAACTCTCCGAGGTGAGAATTATGACCTCATTTTACAGAGCAGAAACCTGAGGCCCAAGAAGCTATGGAACACGACCAAGGTCACAGAGCTGGTAAGTAGCAGAGATGGCATTTGATCCAGGTATGTCTGGCTCCTCGCTAGAGTTTCCCAGAAGGCCCTGGGGGGGTGTGCCTGGGGTCAAACCAAGGAGTAAGGTGGGGGGTATGATTCACGAGGGGTCTCACCAGGAAGCAGCAGAAGTCTATGAGCAGGACGGTGGGGATGCCACCGAAGTTGACCCCCTGGAGCACAGTGCCATTTTTGGCTGAGTTGTAGCAGTAGGAGTCATTGGGCTGGTCCCCGATGCCCAGCCGCCCATGGATGGACACCTCCTTAGACGGCCACAGCTCCAGGAATGGGGAGTCGGTCATCGCGCCTGTCCTCCCTGGAGAACAGCACCAGACGCATGGTCAGGGCTGGAACTCTCCCGCAGTTTCCCCAGCCAGCGCTGGCAGAGCCAAGGGTGGGTGTCTCCTCCAGGGGCTGGCAGGGCGCAGGGAGCCAGCAGCAAGGACTCAGGGAGAGCAGCAAGGACACCACACCCCCGTGTGCCTGGCAGAGTCTACAGAGAATAGCTCCATTGTGGAACAGTCCCGAGGGTCAGAGGGACGGGCGGATGGCTCATCCAGGACACAGCGGGCAGCCTCCCCGGGCGGGGGGACCCAGAGGAAAGGGAAGGACAGGAGCTGCTGCGGCTGCCTGCTTTAGAGGTGCCGGAGTTCCTGCAGCCTCAAGGACCACTGCTGGGAAGGTGTTCCCGTGGGAGCCACTGGAGCCCCAGAGTCCAGGCAGGGGACAGGGGTACAGGGAGGGAGCGCAGAGGACAGCGCGGAGACACAGCAACGAGGGAGAAGGGACACCCAACAATGCAGAGCTGGTGATCCACCTGAGCCACAGACGAGACCCTGTGCCCACTGCGCATGGTATGTCAGGCTGGGACCTCATAGACAGGCCCACTGGACACACTTGGAAACGGAGGCTCAGAGCTAAGAGCCCGCCCCAAGATTACCGAACTGGTTGGGGCAGAATCAGGTCCCACACCCAGCCTCCAACTCCCAGTTCCCTTTCTGCTGTGCCACGCTCCCTCTCCAGCCCGCTGACGACCACGCCTTAGTTCATCGAGAGAGGAAAGGCGGGGAAGGGGCAGCCGGAGAGGAGATGTGGGAACGGAGAACACGGAGGAGACAAAGAGGGGGTGGTCGAGGGCGGGGAGGGGGTCTCAGGGCCTCCTCAGGGAGCGCCCCCCCTAGCTCCGCCCTCTCACCCCTGCACTCCTGGTACCTTTGGTCTAAAAGGAAGGCCCAGCATTTCCAGAGCAGACCAGCTCCAGGCTGGGGGCTGACCTTTCCTTTCTGAGGCTCCTGGCGGCCCTGGTGCAGCTCATGGAATCTCCAGTGTCTGTCTCCCGACACCAAAGGCCCAGAGTTGGTGCCCAAGTTCTGGCCTCTCTCACACCGTCTGCGGCTGAAGAGCCAGCAGAGATGCTCAGCAGGCCCTTCCTCAAGCTCCCACCTCCCCAGTCTGCTGAAACCAGATCCTCAGGGGACTTCTGCTGCTCTTTCTATGGGTTATAGTGAGAAAAACCTTGGGGAAAAGAAGAAAAGGTACGGAGAACCCAAACAGATGTTTGGACTACCTGGTAATGCCGGTGATGTGTATGTATGTGTGTGTGCGCGCGCGCACCCGCGTGTGGCAGGTCCAAAGGCATGGGAGGATTCCCCAGAAGGCCGAGGCACTTTCTCACCCCTATAAGAGACTTGGCAATGGCTGGAGGGTGTGATGTCAGAGCCATAGAGTGGTGGCTCTGAACAGAGTCAGGAAAGTTACCTCTGGGAGAGAGATGGTCTTGGCTTGCCCGCTTTAAACACCACCCAGTGGCACCACTCTGACAGAACGTCCCAACCCAACACTGCGAGGCCAATGCCCGCCCCTCCCTGTCCCCACACTTACCAGACGCCTGTGGAAGGATGGACTGTGGATGAGTCCTTGGAGGGGTCCTCAGTGGGAGCTGGCTCTGGCAAAGGCAGCCGCAGCCTGGCCACCTCTCAAGCTGCCTCGGCCCCGCCACTCATTTCCCGTAGGGCTTCCCTGACCACAGGGTCGGGGGCACCAGCCTTTAGAGACCCCCCTGAAGGAACACGGACGGCCAGAGTCATGTGGGAGCGGCTGTTTGCCCGCTCAGGGGTTCTGGCCGGACCCCCAGCACATCCCCCTGCACTCACTCACACCTGCGCAGTGTCTCTGAACTCAAACGCTCACCTGGAGCCTGTGGTTCTTCCCAAAGGGCTCCCTCCCGCCCTGGCCCTCTCCCCCAACTCCCAGAACTGGTTCCTGCTCCACACTCCTCTCCTCTCTCCTCATCCAGCATCTCCTTGGACTCCACTTCTCCCCTCTTTTCTAACGGCTCCAGGCCCTGCTGGGGCCAGGGCAGTGTCCCGTCTCCCTGCCCCCCAGAAGCACTGGCGGCTGTGGGCTCCAGGTAAGACTCTGAGCATAAGACCTCATCCGGGTCCCAAGGGCAGCTGCTGCGGGGAAGGGGAAGGCTTCCCAAGGTCCCCCAAGGGCTAGAACCAGGAAAAAGGAACTCAGCAGAACAAACAAGGAAGGCTTGAACAGTGGAGTGGAAAGCAAAACACATCCCTGTAAAATGCTCACAGAGGGAGCACTGTCCCTGGAAAGGGAGGGGCTGCAGTGGTGATGCTGGGGGCGGGACCACTCTCCCCAGTGCTGCTTTATGGCGCTTTAGAAAAGCAGAGGCCCTGTGGGAGGAAGGCACCTGTGGCTCCTCTTGCCCCTTCAGCCCCAGTCACACCTCTAAGTCACTTCCCTCTTGCCAAATAGGTCCCCTGGGTGGTTGTACACAGTTTGATGAGAAGAACTCAGTGAGGTCAGCCAGCAAATACTACCAGCCTGGGATGGAGCCTCAAGGCTCCTCAGGTGGTGGCCTGGCCCTTCTGCACCCTCCAGGTGAGGAGACCAGGCGAGGGCACAGCTTCGGGGGCCTGCAGTCTTTCTCAGACCTTTCAGCTCAGTGGTAGTCTGTCCCTGCCCGTTACACACATAAAGTCTAGATTCTGCCGAAACATCACAGGCTCTCCAGGGCCAGCCTGTCTGCATCTTCCTGAACAGGCCGCTCTGAGAGGGCAGCCCTGCCAGGCTGAGGGGGAGGGGAGGAGAGAGGGGACCAGCTGGCAGTGACAGGGAGGGAGCTGGCTCAGCGTGGGAAAGACTGATAATGCTGGGCAGAGGCCAAACCAGCAGGGAGGCCCTGTGGCCACAGGGGCCCTGCCTGGCCTGTCCCTTTGGCAATATTCAGACATCCCATATTTGTTAGATATGCATATGCAAATATCTAGCACTTATCCTTGCCTTCCAGAGAGCTCTCTATTCATCATCTCATTCCTAGCCAATACCCCGAGGGTAGGAAAGCCAAGAATTATTGCTGAGGCCCAGGAGCCAGGTGAGCAGCAGGTGACTCAGGCCCCCAACTTAAAGCCTAGCTCAAGTCCACACCCCAGAGTCTGGTTGTGGCCAGTGGGAGAGAGAGCTGAATCCAACAGCTGTTCTCAAACTTGCCACCAAGTCAAGTGCCAACGCGAACCCACTGCCCACCCGAGCTGGCAGCATGGACTACTCCCTGCAGCACACTTGACCCTCTAGGCCTCCCTTCCAGAAATGCTAGCAGAATGCTGCAGGAAGTGTGTGAGCATTGTCGGCTCTGGTAAGAAAGCCCAGTACAAATTCAGGGTATTTTTATCATCACAAATCTTTCCGTTCTGTTGCAATGATAGCAAGACCACAAGGAGCTCCAGCCCTTCTGCCCCGGGGAGCTACCTCTGATCTTCCAGACGCAGAAGAAGGCTGCAAAGTCAACGCAAACTTCTTCCAGTACCACCAAACAGGGCCCAGGAACCTGGACAACTGTTCACCTCGCAGACATCAACCCTGGAGCGCCAAGGAAGTGGCGTAGCCTCTGGCTGCAGTGGGAGGCAGTGTGTGCGCCCCAGTCACCTGAGCAGGCTCCTGAGTTAGGGTCACAGCGCCATGTCCCTTAGACAAGTGGCTTAACCACTTCGTGTCTTGGCTTCCTTTTCCATAAAGTGGGGACGATGCTGTTTCTCTTACAGGGCTGTTGGGAGGCATACACCTGTTACAATGCCCACACAGGACTCAGCCCAGGGCCTAGCTCTAGTGAGCACTCAAAAGCTGTTTGCTTTTCTCTTAAGTCACCCTCCAGCTAATGAGAAACACAATTGCAGGCCCCTATCTGATGTTCTTCCTGGTAGAGCCCAATGAACAGCCAAGAGAGACCTTTGCGCCAACGCTCAACAAACAAGAGGGTGTGTGAAGGGAACAGGAGGCCTCTGCTTCTGTTCGCATGCACCTCAAGGCAGAAGCAGACTCAGGACTCTCTGACAGGTGTCAGAGGAGCAGAGAAGAGAGAAAGAAGCAAGGCATGCAGAAGAGAGAAGGGGGAAATGAGTCTTTCCTCACCCCCTGTGAGTGTCTAACGACCTGTAGGAGCCAAGGCCTCAGAAAGGCCCGGGGATGCCTCCCACAGCCCCCTTGCACCCACCGGCCGGGACTGGTGAGCACAGCCACTGGCTTAACCTCACTTCCTCCCTGTAGGGGCTGGGACACAGTCACACCGCTTCAGGGTGGAAGGAAGCTCACAGGTCATTTGGTCTACCACGCTGTCAACTGCTGCCCTTGAGGACACCCCCTGGGGCTGAAAGATAGAGGCCACCCCAAAGGCTCAAGTAGCCGGTCTTATCAGGTACTGGAACCCTGGGGTTTTTGGTTTCCTAGCAGAGCTCTCCTCACTCTCCCCTCCCCTCCCCCAAGCCTCCAGGTTCCCTCCTGGGACTCCACCAGGGCTGTAGGAGCGGTCACTGAGGGACAGCCCCAAGTGGTTTCCACCTTCCCAGCGGCAGGGAACTCGGCGCCTGGCCCCTGCCCAGACCTGCCTCGCTTACAGTCCGAGAAGGAAGAGTCCCATGGCTGCGCTTCTGGTTAGGCTGGGAGGTCAGACTGCAGCAGACAAATCCCCAGAGAGCGGGGAGGGGAAGAAGGAGGGGTCAGCCCTAAAAGCGAAAAGCTGGACCTCGGAGGGGGAAGGCCCAAAAAGCTGTCAGGAAGAGGCGCGGGGCTGGAATGGGGGCGCGGGGTCTGCACAGCCCCGGGACTGACCCTTTTCACCCACCCACTCCTGCCTGGGAGCGGGGGCCGCGCCCCAGATCCGGACACTTGACGTGGCACCCCGGCCTAGCGCCCTGGTCCTGCGGGTCCCGGAAGGCGGAGGGCGACTTTCCCCTCCTCACGGCCCTGCCCACCTTACCTGCGGCGGTCGCGCGGCTGGCCCGGCCTGGGGAAGTTATCTGGCTCCACCTGGCCGGGTGGGGCGGGGTCCTCACCACTGAAAAGTTACAAAGTGAAACTCCGGCGCCTCCTGCACATGCGCAGAGCTGCGCCCACGGCTTGCCCAGTTTGGACCCTCGGCCAGCGCCGATGTCCGCCCAGACGCCGCCACCCGCGCCCCGGGCCGTGCGCCCCTCGGCCCTGCTCCGCTCCGGCCCGGCCCCAGGGCCGCCGCTCAGCCCGCGCGGCTCCTCCCGGCCGTCTGCTGGCGTCCAGGGGCCGAGGAGGGCGCCGCCTCGGCGAATTCCTCTCCTCGGCCCTCGCACGTCCCCATTCCCCGGGCACCTCGGGGAGACCCGGGCCAAGCACAGGGGTTCGCGGCCCGGGGACGCGCGCGCGGAGAGCATCTGCACACGTCCTGATCGTCCCTGGATGGCACTGAATGTCCTCGACGGGCTCTGAGGCCCGCCCGGGGCAGTGGGAGGATGGGGAGCTGGGCCGGCTCATCCTGCACCTCGGCCGCCAGGGCCGCTGCGACAGCCCGCGACTGCGCCGCCGCTCTAAGCAGCCGGGACCCTGAAAGCCCCGAGGTGCTCCGTTTGGCCCCAAAGGGAGATCGCAGTGTTTCCAGCGGCTCTCCGGGTCCCGGGCCGCCGGGGGCACCGATCTGGCCCGGCTCGCTGAGCGCGGCGTGTCTCCGGGGCCGGGTAGCACGGTGTTTCCAATGAGCCAGTGGCCTCGGCGCCTGGACTGGAAGCTCGCCGAGGGCGCCGGGCTGTGCACCGCGCAGGGCGCGGGACGGGGTTGACACAGGACCGCGCGTCCTGGGGAGCGGGAGAGCGCCACCTGCCTGCCGCCGCCGCCAACTGCCCCCCAACGCAGGCCTGCGTTTCCGCTTCTGCAAAACCAGGGGCTTGGACCAAAGCTTCCTCTCAGACCCTTTCTAGCACTGAAGATCTCCAAGTCCTGAACAGCTCTTCCCTCCGCGCACGCGCAGCTCTGCAGGGCCTCTGGCCTCTCTTCGTTTCTGGGCTTTCCTCT